CTCCTCCACTTTAGGGAACTATGCCTAGAGCAGGTGTAAGACACCACAACTCTCACCCTGGCATGGTTTTAGTCTGTCTACACACCTCATGTCCCTCTGTGAGAAGTAAGCACCTACTTCTGAGGCTCAGTCACTGCGATTTGTCAAATAAACAGACGCAAGGCAAAGCCATGGGAAGGAGAATGGCTGAAGAGGAGAAAGTTCCAAGAGTTTCCAGGGTCACGCTGCTGTACATAGGCCAACATCAGAACTGCCTTTGTGTCCTAGGAGGTCAGCCCAGTGAGTTCAGTGGGTACTATGCTGCCCTCTAGATTACTTGAAGACTTACATATATGGCAATCCCAGCTTCTCAGCAGGATAGGCTCCATAGTGACATCTGCCTCAAATGAGCCCTCCTTGAGAACAAGCTGAATCCCTAGTCTCTTATCTCTAGTTCTGGACTTTTGGTGCCCAGGCCCTGGCCATGTGTGCCCATTAGACTTTTCTGCACAGCAGTTACCCATTAGGGACAAGGGTGGTGTGCCTTTTGACAGACCAAGGCACAACGAAGATAAAAGCCCCAACTTTGGGTTTCTTACATTTTTTCTTTCTTTGCATATATAAGCCCTAAATCCATTGTCATTGAGTTGATTCCGACTCATCATGACTCCATATGGCGTTTCCGAGACTGTACATTTTTACAGAGGCAGACAGCTTCTTCATCTTTCTCCCACAGAGCAACTAGTGGGTTTGAACTAGTGACTTTGTGGTTAGCGGCTCATCATTTAACCCACCCATAAATATACACCAGAGCTTCTTATGTAAGTCCAATGATATATATCCTTAGTGTGTGTGTGTGTGTGTGTGTGTATATATATATATATATATATATATATATATATATATATATGTTATTCTTATGTATCAGTGTACCCTCAGTAACCTGGAGACTGGCTTCTTTTCCAACCTCTTCCCTATGCCCCAACCATGGTAAAACAAAACAAAATAAAACAAAAAATCCTAAAGGGGAGCAGTAAAAAATTCTATCATGGTCTTCATGGTGGTTCAAGTAGTACACATGTGAGCAAAACACACACACCAGATTTGCTTCCCTACATAACTCTTTCTGTTTGGTCTCCCCACAAACTGGGGCACATAGTCCCTAGAGGCTCAAGGGGGGAAAACACCCACACATATATATACATACATAAAAATTAACAGAGTCAAGGGAGATACACAAAAAATACAATCAAAGTAAATGACAGATGCAATCTTAGTCCGGCAGAAAGAATCCAGCAATTTGGTGATGTTCCATTTCCCCTTAAATCTGTTCTAGCTCCTTGTCAAGAGAGATCAATGCAATACCCTAACCTGCCATTTTGAAAATATGCGTCCCAAAACTCCCACCTTGCTTTCTCTGACATCCAGCCTTAAAAAACAAAAAAAAAAACAAGGCCCAGGGCTGCCTTCTTTCTGGAACTTCCTAGGAATGACTATTTCTTACACAAGAGGACCCTCCAACATATCCAATAAACTGGCCCACAAAGCAACCATCTCCCTAGAGAGCTCAGCAAACCACTGGGTTCCACAAAACCTATAGCCAATTGACGACCCGGTTTCAGGAATCAAAGCCCTATTTCTCCTCTAAGTCGGCCAGAGGCAAACACCAAGCACCAGTCTGTGAGCAATGGACCTCACCTTCATTCACGTCAGGAAACCACAAAAAAGTATCTGAAAAGGAAGCAAAGGACGGGGACGCAGGAGGGGACTTCCTGCCCCACCATACCCAGTTTTGCTCTTCAAACCATTCAAGGGGTCTTTTCCGGGGATACCAACCACTACACAAGGTGTCTAGTAAACAGCCCTGTGCGGTGCCCATTTTAGAGGGCAGGGGAACTAATCTGGAGATCACAAACTCAGAGGAAAGAGACTAGGGACAAGAAGACCATCCCCCCAACCTACAACCCAATGTCGGAGATGCTTCAGCACAATCTCTGCGGAACTCAGTCAGGGATGCACAAGAGCCACCCTCCTCCTACCTCCGCCCCGGCCTCAGGGGACCATTCCCCTTCCCCCTCCGCACACTCCCGACTCAAGTATTCGGATCTACTGGCGATCCCACATCCCTAACCTCTCCAGAGCTTCAGCCACCCCACCGCAAAATCCGTCTGCCTATCCGTCGGCCTCAACCCGGACCTCCCAGACCGCGGCTCCTGGTGCCTCTGTCCATTTTGCCACCTTCATTGCGGCTCCCGACCCGCTTCGCCTCTACGCTGCCCACTCCGCTCCCCGTCGCGGTCCCTTACCCGGGTGGAGCCGATGTCCATCATCACCTCTTCGAAGGCCGCCGTCTCCTCGGCCTGACGCTGCTTTTGCAACGCGATCTTCTCACTAAACTTACGCGGATTGGAAGCCGAGGCCGTGGCGGAGCCGGGCCCGTTCGCGCCCGACGTCGCCATCTTCCTCCCTTGTCCCTCCCCGCCACCCTCTCAGTACAAGCCACGGCCTCCGCCGCCGGCTCCGGCCCGGCTCCTCCAGCCGTAGCCGCCGCTACAGCCGCCTCAGCTAGCACCGCGAACCCGGCCCTAGCCTAGCCCTGACCTGTTGTGCGCGGAGGCCACCGGGAATTGTAGTTTGTTTACGTGACGCCTTCACCTCCCTAGTCACAGAGCACGGAGAGGAAATGGACACCATTTCCCATCAACCTTGTTGACTCCGGGAACTGGGCAACTTTGCTCCTCCCTCTCGGCTACTCCTTGCGCAGAGTAAGTTGGGAATAGTAGTTCTAAATTGGTCCGGAGAGGAGAGGGTGTTGTGCACGCTCCAGTCGGTTCCCACTCACATCGACCTTGTAAAGGATTTCTAAGGCTGTACATCTTTGCGGGAGCCGAAAAGCCTCATCTTTCTCCCGTGGAGCTAGCTGCAGGTGGGCTCAAACCACCAACCTTTTGTTTAGAAGTCCAGTGCTTATCTTACAGAGCCGCCACAGAGATTGTTAAATGCTGATGAGTCCTTCCAATTCACAGAACCTCTGTAAAAGGTTTCCAAGGAGCAGCTAGCCGGTTTGAACCACTGACATTGTGGTTAGCAGTACAGTGCTTATCCTACAGCGTAACACCTGGACTCCTACGAATGGTTGGTTGTGGTGGTGGTGGTAGTGTGCTATTGAGTTAGTTCTAACTCACAGCGACTCTGTATAGGGTTTTCAAGGCTGTACATTTTTAGGGAACAAAAAGCCTCATCCTTCTCCTACAGAGCAGCTGATGGATTTAAACTGTTAACCTTGCGATTAGCAGGCCAACACACTTAACCCAGTATGCCACCAGGGCTCCTTCTACAAATGGGTAGTTATTGTTAAATACCATGTAGTAGGTTCCAACTCAAAGCTATCCTGTATAGGGTTCCCAAGGAGCAACTGGTAGGTTTGAACCTTTAACCTTGCAGTTATCATTCCAGGATTGTTTATCCAGCTGTGCCATACCAGGACTCCTCTAAGGATGGGTTGTTGTTTTCATTAAGTACCCTCGGGTCGGTTTCAACTTATAAGGGCACTGTATAGGATTTCCATGTTGTGACTGGTGGGTTAGAACCACCAACTTTGCACTTCAAACTGACCTTGTAGTCCAGTGCATTATCCTGCAGTGCCATACCAACGGAAAGGAATTAAAGAGGGAGGGAAAGGAAGAAACAAGAAAAAAGGGAGGAACAGTTGTTAAGTGCCTTTGAGTCTGTCCTGACTCATACTGACCATGCATAGGGTTTCCAAGGAGTAGCTGGGTGAGCTTGAACCACCAACCTTGCAATTCAAACTGATTTTGCAGTCCAGCGCATTGACTCACAGTGCCACACCAGGAAGAAACTAGGGAGTAAAAACTTGGTCATCTTTAGGAAATGGTGCACTGGACTTCAAGGTTGGTTTGAACTGTAAGGTTGACAGTTCAAACTCACCAGCTGCTCCTTGGAAATCCTATACAGGGTGGCTAAGAGTTGGAACCAACTAGATGGCACTTAACAATAGGAAAGAGAACCAGAGACCTGTATAAAAACAGATGAGAGATCTTCAGCTGTATACATCTATGATTCAGGCCCTCTCAGGCATGCCCATCCCCTGCCCAAAAAAGGGATCAGATAATGTACAGATTTATAGAAACATTTTTTATTTGGGTAACATGTCCCAAAACAAGTCAGTTAGTAAAATAGATTCTAGAGAATATGGCCCTTTTGCACAGCTTTCCCTCCCCAAAAATAACCTCAGGGGTGAGACACCTCCTCCCTCCCCATTAGGCTCCTCTGATATAAAAGTTTTGGCAGCTCTGTATTTATCATCTGGGTATTGGGACCATGTCCTGTATCACTAAGGTGCACACGCGGCCAGGGGCTCTGCCAGCCCTCCCAGCAACTAACATTTCTACCCCACACCAGAATCTGAGACTACAATCAACAGCAAGTCCCCTTCACTGAGGTGTTAGGCAGGGCTTGGTGCCATCACTGTGCTTTGAGAAAAGAGGTGGGGGAATTTATTTGGCACTTTGAAAATAGAGAATTGAGCAGGACTGGAGAGGCAAGAGAAGGTACCAAAACTGGCAGGAGGAGGCCATTTGGCACTAGCCCCATGGGAAAAGAGAAGGGGAAAATATGAAAGTAGGAGGTAAGAAAAGTAGGGCTAGAACCAACTGGACTGCTGGCTCTGGGGCCATGCCCTCTCCATACCTCTACCCCATAGCAGTTGGGTACCCACCCCCAGCATCCTCAATGTCAGTTTACCTTTGTATGTAGTGTGTGACCCTTATCCTAGCAGTCAGTATCTTCCTTAATTCTAATGTCTTTTGATTATAGTCATCTCTTTTCCCTTGATCTGGGGTCAAGCTGTTATCTGCCCACTTCCTCTCATTGGTCAGATAGCCCCAAAGATTCCATCCCTAGCTCCTGGAGAATTCTTCAGTCCTCAGTGCCTCCCCTCCCTACTCCTGCCACATATACATGGGTTCGGGGAGAGGGCAGGGGCACTTGCTACCAACCTCCTAGACTTGGATGAAGAGCAGGCCAGTTAGCAGGGCAAAGCCTGCCAGTAGCAGAATGACCTTGAGGATCCTCTGCTCAGAAGTGGCCAACTCCTGGGGCAGGATCTCCAGGAAGGTGATATAGAGAAAGGTGCCAGCTGCCATGCCCTCCAGCACAGACTGAGCCAGCTGATGAAGTGGCCCAGCCGACTCTGCCAGAGCTGCACCCAGCCCAATGCCCAGGGGTGTCATACAGGAGAAGAGGATTCCACAGCCTGCCACCACCTGTGCCCGCAGGTGGCTCTGCAACAGCCGCAGGGAGAGGCTGACAGCCAGGATACCCTTATGGAGCAGCAGAGCAAAGCACAACTCCATGGCTCGAGCCCGATCTCGCTGCAACCCTACTGCCAGCCCCTCAAATACTGAGTGCAGGGCCAGGGAGAAGACCAGGACACAGGCACGGAGAGCTGAGGGTGCTGCGGAGACTCCATTTGCCTGCTGGATCCCTGGCCCATCATGCCAGTGCTGTGGCCCACCATTCGCTGTTCCCAGCAGAGCTCTTGTTTCCTCCCGAGGTGGGGGCCCCGACTGCTCCTTGTAAGCCAGTGTGATTTGCTCCATCACCAGGACCAGAAAGAAGCCCATGGCCAGGATGAACTCCTGCAGGGGGAACTGGAGCTGTGGACAGAGGAGGCAGCAAGGAGCTCAGGAGATACGCCAAGAGTGTGTAGGAGTCAGATGCAGAGTCTGATGGAGGCTCAGTTACACAGGCTTGGGGTCCCACACAGACACAGGGCCACTCTCAGTCACAACAAGATACAGTCATTTGATTATATAGATACAAAGTAATACACAATCACACAGATAACTGTATTATTGTTAGGCTTTGGGCTGCTAACCACAGGTTGGTGGTTTAAACCTACCAACTGCTCCTCGGGAAAGATGAGGCTACCTGCTCCCATAGACTTACAAGTCTTGGAAACCCTAGATAGGGTTGCTGTGACTCAGAATCAACTTGATGGCAGTTGGTTTGGTTAGACTATATGTAGGAGCCCTGGTGGCATAGCATGGTTAAGTGTTGAGCTGCTGACCACAAAATCGGCAGTCTAAAACCATTAGCCACTCCAAGGGAGAAAGATGAGGCTGTTTGCTCACATAAAGATGTAATCTCGGAAACCCTAAGGAACTCTGTCCAGTAGGATCACTGAGTAAGAATTGACTCAGTGGCCGTGGGTTTTTTTGTTTTTTTAATGTTATACATAAGGAACCCTGGCAGTGCTGTGGTTAAACACTTGCAGTTATCACTCACTAATGACTCTGAGGGAAAAAGATGTGGCAATCTGCTTCTGTAAAGATGGCAGCTTTGGAAACCCCATGGGGCAGTTCTACTGTTAACCTGCTAACTGCAAGGTTGGCCGTTCAAACCAACCAGCTGTTCCATAGGAAAGATAAGCCTGTCTGCTTCCATAAAGATTTACTCTGATAATACCCACTTGACCTGGCTTTAATGACTGGATGATCAGAGCTCAACTAGAAGAAGAAAGAAGAGGAAAAAAAAAGAATCTGATACAATTTGATGAACTTGACTTACACCTATGGATGCAAGAGCTCAAAATAGGGAACAAGTCTTTATACCCCCTCCATATACAGAGTAGATAGGGATGGGAAACTTCGGGGGGGGGGGGAGGGCTACAAAGGCAAGAAGTAACTGGCTTACAAGCTTTCAAGAGGGAGCCTAGATCCAGAGAGCATAGAGGAAGGTAGAATCTCCACTGAGTAGTATACAATCTGGCTAGGCAGGGCTGATGAAAGGAGATGCAGATAGGTCTCTTGTGATATAATAGTGAATAATTGTTAACAGGACTGATTGTGAGGGTTGGAAATGTAAAGGTAGACATTTTGTAGCAAAAGGAGGGGAGTGATTGACTTTGCAGTCTAGGAACAGAGGTCCCTGGGACCATCAAGGGAGAAGAACAGAGAGCAGGATCCTACCCAGAGAAGCAAGGATGCCAGAGATGGAGGCAAAGACAATGATATGGCAAGATGGAGTGGCTGGGGACTTTAGACCCAGAGAGGGAGAGGGGCTGTGTGCTGATGACCAGGGGGCAGGCTTGCAGGGTGTACCCTTTGGTTGGTTGATGATGCATAGAGGGGATTGTAACCATGGCAATGAAACAATATACAATAGGATGAATGTAAAGCTAATGTTCTCCCATGTAAACTATCACATAATTCACACAAAAAACTAGGAAAAATAAAATGATTTACTCTGTAGTGTTCTACTCTGTATAGAACCCTGTTGTTGTTTTACCATGGAATTGGTTCTGACCCATACCAAACCTGTATAGGATTTCCAAAGAGTGATTGGTGAATTTGAACCACTGACCTTGCAGTTCAAACCGACCTTGTGGTCAAGTGCTTATCCTACAGTGCCACACCAGGACTCCATATATAGAACCCTATATGATTAGTTCTTTCTCCCACAGAGCATCTGGTAGGTTAAATGCCAACCTTTCAGTCAGCAGCTAAATGTGTAACCACTCCATCACCAGGGCTCCTTACATTAACATAAACCACTGCCCAGTTCTGACTCATAGCATCCCTATAGGACAGAGTACAGCTGCCCCACAGAGTTTCCATGGGTGTCATCTTTTGGAAGTAGACTGTCACATATTTCTCCTGTGAAGAGGCTGGTGGGCTTGAACCACCAACCTTTCAGTTAGCAGTTGAGTGCTTAACCACTATGCCAACATAGTTCCTTACATATAATATAATGACACATTTATCTATGTGATTGCGTATCACTTGTATTTACTATGAGTCAGAACCAACTCGGCACCAATGAGTTATATAGATAATTGGTGCTACTGACATTAAAAAAAAAAAATTATTTTGGCATTTTATTTATGTATTTCCTTTTTATTTTCCCAAGTACATAAAGATTCGTAGCAACCTCATATGTGTCAGGGTAGGTAGGTTGTGCTTCACAGGGTTCTTTTTTTTTTCTTGTTATTGACATTTGGAACAGATAATTCTTTGTTGTGGGGGCTATCCTGTACACTATAGAACATTTAGTAGCACCCCTGGCTTCTACCTATTACATGCTAGTAGCAATCCCTCACCCTTCATTTGTGACAACCAAAAATGTCTCCAGACATTATTCAATGGTCACCAGAGGGCAAAATCGACCCCAGTTGAGCCATCGATGTAGATGTACAAAAGTGTCATGTGTAGGCACACAAAAACAGGGTCACACTTTGAACTGGCTCCTCAAACACAGAGAGCCACATACTGTCATAGAGACATTCACGATACCCTATACACATGGAGACACTCAGTGATAACACAAAGAGGGTTACATCCAGAGTTATTTCTTTAGTGTTTGGGAAAGAGAAGAGAGGGACCATGATATGTCTTTCCGCACCACAACCCAGCTGTCTCATTTTTTTCCTATAATGAACCTTTCTTATGACTTCGATTTGATCTCTCCCGACATCCCACACTTCCTTGGGCTATAGACTTTTTGATCAACAACAGCAGACCCCTTCTGGCAATTGCCTCTAACTGTTCCCAGAACTATATACCCAGTTCCATCAAGTTGATTCTGACTCACAGTAACCCCATAGGGCAGAGTAGAACTGCTCTTAGGGTTTTTAAGTCTGTATATCTTTATAGGAGCACACAGCCTCATCTTTCTCCAGAGGAGTAGGTGGTAGGTTTAAACTGCCAAGCTTCTAGTTAGCAGCCTAATGACTAACCCACTACTACATTGCTAGGGTTCCTCTCCGAGGACTACAAAGACCCTTAACTCTCAGCCCTTCAGGTAAATAGAGGGAGGATGACCATCATTCTTGGAGTGCTGCTAACTTTCTGGAAGCTGGAACAGAGAAACCCACAGAGAAGGTCACATACCTAGTCTTAAGGTTCCTCACACTGATTCAAAGGGGTCCAGATTGGGTAGTGGTAGCGGGGAAGGGAGCCCACAGAAAACTTTGTGCCCCAAACCCAAAATTATAATTCATAAGGTCACATGCCAACAGCTTCCTAGACAATGGACACTCCTAACACATAGGGTCACGTGCAGCCGAGACAGTTCTCACCGTCACATGCAGGGCCCCCAGGGCCTCATCTATGGCAGCCAAGTAATCAGGCAGCAGGTCCAGGAGACAGGTGGCCAGAAAGACACCTCCTGCGAAGCAGCTTACAAGGCTCAGGGCTTTCTGGCGGGAGGCTAGGCAGGAGTGGAGCACAGAGGGGAATAAGCAACTGAACTCCCTCAAGACCCCACTACCCCAGCCCAAGCAACGGCTACTCTTATCTTCCCATCCTTAGGTTGCCTCTCCTGGCCCCAGAGCCATTACAGGACTCCAAGATTCAGAACTTCCACGGCAGCAAAAGGCTTACTTGAGGTTTCATGGTTAGCTCCAGGCTGGCGCAACACACAGATGGGCACCAGGCTGCAGATGAGGGTAAGAACCAGCAGAAGCACCAGGGCGCCCAACTTCACCTCCAGTCCTACTGGCACTGGAGGCTCTGAGGCCATGGCCTCAGGGCGCCACACCAGGAGCTCTGGCTCTCCCCAGGGCCCCATGGTAGCTGTGGTAGTTCCAATGACTCTCAGACCTAGGAAAAAGACTAGAGTGGGTGAGCAATGGTCTTGCATGGAAAAATGGGGCCAAGAAAAGGGGAAGACTGGTCAGCACAGTGTTGCTCCTTCCTTACCCAACCACTTTCTGCCATTCCCCAACCCAGGGTGACTCATCCACTTCTGTACAGGAAATATTCCTCTTCCCCCTCCTCAGATTTTATCCTTCCCATGTGACTTATTCAGGAACCCAGTAGATGGAAAGTGAGGCAGGCGAAGGATTTTGTGAATTTTTCATTGCCCTTTCACCTGGAGCTGCCTCCAAATGGAACCTAGAGCTGAGGTCCTCCAGGGATAGTAGAGGCAAGGCCTCCACCCTAGGAAGGAATGAAGGAAGCAAGGAGGGGTTGGGGCGTTGGAGGGGATCCAGGGTAAGTTTAGTGAACCACCTAGACTGGACGCGTTTGGGTGCTGGACACCCTCCCGCTCCCCTTTCCCCAACTCCATCTCCCAGAAAGCAGAGCACTACTGCTTCATGCCACAGGCTAGGAAGTCATGAAAAATGACCACAGAGGGGTCCTAGGAGTCTGGGGTCCCGGGGTGGGCTGGGTCGACACTGTGGGCGGTGTCTGGAAGTTCGAAGCCTTCAGGGTCCCGGGAAACAGATGAAATGCGAGAACTGGAACTCTGGCTTCTAGGACTCGTGAGACCAGGGCGGCCGACCCCGACCCCTGTCCCCATAAGCCCGCACTCACCTCGCGAGGGTCTCTCTACATGGTATCCGCTCGGTTCCGGCCTAGAGTCGGGAATTCCCGCCCCCTCCCCATCGCTTCCCCCGCCCCGCCCCGCCCACCGCTGCGTACCCACCCGGCTGCCAATGGTAATGCTGAATGGGCGGGGCCAACTGGGAGTGACGGAAGTTTGGAGCAATCAGAGAAAGGCAGCCGGAGACGGGAGGAGCGGGGGCGAGCAAAGAGTGAGAGCGAGCTAGGGAGGGACAAGGGAGAGGAGCCAGGGGTTGCGGACGTGGGCCGCTGTTGTAGAAGTCCGGTCAGCCGGATCTGGACGATCAATAAAGACTTTGGCCACTTGGGAGATTTTCTTTAAAGAGGAAGGTAAAATTTCAGCGGACAAGACTGATGCTTCTTTACTTGTCCTAACTCTGTTTTCCCTACCCCCACTGTCCCAAATCCTTCACCCCACACTAAGGAGTTCTGCCTGGCCTTTGGCCAAAGTCTCCTTATCTTATCTCTAAGACCCCTCCAGTGCACTAAGGCTCCAAAAAGAAGGCATTTCCATTTAAAAACTGACTTCCTTCTTCTATGTTGTTGTTAAATGCTGTTGAGTCATAGCGACCCTGTATAGAGTTTCCAAGGAGCAGCTGGTGAACTTGAACCACTGACCTTGTAGTTCAAACAAACGACTTTGCAGTCTCACACATTAACCCACAGCGCCACACCAGAACTTCGCTCTATGGTCCTGAGTAAAAGGGGAAAAACAAAGAGGGCATTTCTTGAAAATCATCCCTTCCTGACGACTGATAGCCTGTTTAATTTCTATAGCCTTGTTGTTGTTGTTGTCAGGTGCCATCCAGTCAGAACCGACTCATAGCGACCCAGCAGAATGAAACAATGTCAGATTCTGGGCCAACCTCACTACTGCTGCCACACTCGAATCCATCAATGATGCCACCTGGCCAATCCATCTCTCGTTAGGGGTCTTCCTCTTTTTCTCTGACCTTCCACCTTACCCAGCATGATATCCTTCTCCGGCGACTGTTTCATCTGGACAATATGTCCAAAGTATGAGACAAAGCTTAGCCATTCTGGCCTCCAAGGAGCACTCTGGCTGCACTTCTTCCAAAACAGATCTATTGGTTCTTTTGGCAGTCCATGGCACTATCAGTATTCTCCTCTAACACCACAACTCAAAGGCATCAATTCTTCTATGATCTTCCTTATTCACTGTCCAGCTTTCGCATCCATATGAGGCTATTGAAAACACCATGGCTTGGGTCAGGCTCACCTTAGTCCTCAAGCTAACATCTCTGTTCTTCAATGCTTTAAAAAGTTCATGTGCAGCAGATTTGCCCAATGCAATACGTCGTCTTGTTGTTGTTAAGTGCCGTCAAGTTGGTTCCGACCCATAGCGACCCTGGATAGGGTTTCCGAGGAGTTGCTGGGGAGTTTGAACCACCGACCTTGCAGTTCAAACAGCTTTGCAGTCTGGCGCATTAACCCACAGCGCCACAGCCAATATACCTGGAGAATTACACAATGCTTGGTAAAGTTGTTAAGTGCCTCCTGTGGAGTCGATTTCCATTCATAACAACCCTGTATAGGGTTTCCAAAGCTTTTAAATCTTTTACAGGAGCAGAAGGCCTCATCTTTCGCTGGCGCTTGGTTAAGTAGAGGGTCAGTAAAACAGAAGAAGACCCTGAATGAGGTGAATTGACACAGTGACTGCAACAATGTGCTCAAACATAAGGACTGAGAGGATAACGGTGATGGGCAGTGTTTGGTTTGTTGTACATAAGATCGCTATGAGTGGGAACCAGCTACAGGGCACCTAATAATCATGCCTAAAGGCACCTGGCTGGGACTCTCTCCAACCTCAAGTTTCACAATCACCTAGATATTTTCACTTCATTACCTTCAGCTTGGATCCTCATTCCCCACAAACTTGTGCTATCAGAACCCTCTTCTAGTCTTATGGGAGAAAAGAATACAAAGGAAGAAAGTAAAAGGGACTTGTGGTGGGTAGCATGGTGGCTCTGTAGAATAAACACTGGACTTCGCGTGAGCCACAAGGTCAGCAGTTCAAGCCCATCTGCCGCTCTGTGAAAGAAAGATGAGGCTTTCTTCTCCTGTAAAAATTGAGGGTCTCAATGAATGGGAACTGATTGATGGTACTTTAACAACCACAGCAGTTGATTATTTGGCTGCTAACCATAAAGCTGATGGCTCCAATTCAACAACCACTGGGCAGGAGAAAGGTGTGACAGCTTCCTTAAAGATTTATAACCTATGGGAAAACCCATGGGGCAGTTCTACTCTGTCTTATAGTATCATTATGAGTAGGAATCTACTCAAGGACAGTGGGTTTGGTTTAGGTTTGGATACCAGTGGTTATAATCCCATTGGGAATGGGTTTTCCTTGTTATGTTAATGATGCAGTATTAGTGTAGGGTGTGTTTTACAGAATTCCCTTGAGATATAAAAGAGCAGATTAAGCAAGCAAGCATAAACAGGGGAAGAAACAAGCCACATGATCATCAAGGAACCTAAGAATAGAAGCTGAAAAGAGACAAGGACCTTCCCCCCAGAGCAGACAGAGAGCTTTACTCTAGAGCTGATGCCAGCATTTCTAGGCTCCTGAACTAAGAAACCTAGTGTGGTGCTATGGGTTAATGCACCAGACTGCAAAGCCTTTTGAACAGCAAAGTCGGCGTTTTAAGATCACCAGCTACTCCTCAGAAACTCAATACAGCATAGTGGTTATAACTCAAGCTGCTAATCTCAAACTCAGCGGTTTGAAACTACCAGCCATTCCGCTGGAGAAAGATTTATAGCATCAGAAACCCTATACAGGGTTGCTATCAGTCGGTCTCCGCAGCACACCACCACCAAACAGAAAATAAATTCCTTTGCTAAAGCCACTTGTGGTGTTTCTGTGGTGGCAGCACTAGACAACTAAGACATTGACTAACGAAAGGACAGAATGAGACCTCTGATACCACTGTGGAAATGGTCTATGAGAAAGAAATCATATGTTGTACAGTAAAACCGGTGAAGGCTGGACCCTGTAGTTTATGTACTTTGATGTATGAGCTTCTTTAAGTCATTTTCTCACTCTGCCCTTAAGCAATCAGAAAAAAGGGAAGTTAGACAAGCAGATGATTGCAGAGATTCCTTCCAGTTCTAACACTAATGGAAGCTGAATATTTTCCCATTGAATTCTCTGCATATGCCCAAACATTTCATTACTTTCTTGCTCTAGGACAGATCTAAGCAGGAACAGCTCTGCTTTTCTTAGAGCTGTGGATCAATGTAAGAAGCCTGCTTTGTCTTTTCACTATTTGAGCAGATGCAGGAAGAAGATGAGCAGGAAAGAGACTTGGGTAATTTAAGAAAAGCAGCTTGCTATGATGCGAAGAACATGGGCTCAAACATCCAAATCTTGGTCCAGTTACTTACAGAGCAACCTTGAGAAAATTCTTTAATTTCTTTCTGTCAGCTCTTGAGTTGTTATGAGCATTATATGAGTAACATGAAAATGCCACAAGTGTTAAATCTGGTTCCTGTCTTTACCCTTAGCCCATTCAGATCTTCACAAGAATTAAAGATTAAATTCTAGACTGGCACCTGAAACCTTCCTCCTTTACCCACTCAGCAACCTTTTATCTAGGGTACTACTGGGGAGATGGGGAGATAAACATCATACCTTTATCAGTAGATTGTTGTTGTTGTTAGGTGACATCGAGACAGTTTCGATTCATAGTTACCTTATGCACAACAGAACAAAACACCTCCCACGTCCTGTGCTAACCTCGCAATTGCTGCTATGCTTGAGTTCATTGTTGCTGCCACTGTGCCAATTCATCTTATTGAGGGTCTTACTCTTTTTCCCTGTCCTTCCACTTTACCAAGCAGGAGTCTTTCTCTAGGGACTAGTCCCTCCTGATAACATGTCCAAAGTATGAGAGACAGAGTCTGGCTTTCTTGGCTTCTAAGGAGCTTTCAGTATAGCTGAGTAATTTTATTTGAGATGAATTTCTGGACCATTGGACACAAGAAAGAGGCAAAATAAGAGAGAAAACAAAACCCCCTGAGTTTTTGGTGTTATTGTTGTTGTCAAGTGTCACTGCCACTGTTGTTCTTTAAGTGCTGTTTAATTGATTCCAATTTATAGTGACCCTGTATAGGGTTTCCAAAGCTTAATTTTTGAAGGAGAAAAAAAACCTCATCTTTCTCCTGCAAAACCGCTAGTGGACTTGAACCACCAAA